CAACAGTGGATGAAAGGCACCTGTGTCCGACCAAATTTCCCTGAACATTCTTGATCCTATTTGATTTTGGAAGCTAAATGCAATTGTGGTGATTAGTATTTTGGGTGGGAGCCCAAATACTATTGGTCTGATTTAATATAATGTGGCTTCCTATGTTTCTATGCGGTCTATCACTGGGCCTCTGACAAATATCTGCTGGAACAGTTAGCATAAAGATGTGGAATGCATGGCACTTCATGCTAACTACTTTACTTCTCTGGTGCCCAGAGCTCCTCAACCGGTCAAACCAAAAATCAACCCCAGATTGACCAAAATGATGGCCAGGAGGGACAAACATAAAAACACAATGCATGGTCTTCCACGCAGGATTGAGAGCGAAAGCAAAGGCCTTCTATCACTTTGTTTTAGCAGCTAATCTCTAATCCGCTGTTATCTATGTATGAGCTGGGGATTCATATGTGAACTATGGGCCACACTTTGCACATTCTTGAGTGATGCCACATGGTCCACTACAGATACTGCAAACAATGTTGCTTTCCCACATGGAGAGACACCCAAGCCAGCTCTGAGACTCAGCCCTGTTCTTGAATCAAGATTATTTTTCCACATGGGCCTTGGTCTCCTGTCTTCTCACTGAAACTCTGGCTCTTGACCTTTGGACTGAAAATCGACCACCTGGCTTCTCATCTCCCCAGAAATCCAATAAGTTTCTGGTCCCAATTCAAGGTGAATGTCATAATCTATAAAGCCCTAAACGGTTCGGGACCTGCTTATCTCCACGATCGTCTCTTCCCCTATGAACCAGTGCGTAGCTTGAGATCAGCTGGGGAGGCACTGCTCTCTCTCCCCCTGCCATCCCAAGCACGTTTGGTGGGGACAAGGAGGAGAGCTTTCTCGGTGGTGGCCCCTCGGCTCTGGAACTCCCTCTCTAGGGAGATCAGACAGGCTCCCACCTTGTCCTCCTTTCGGAGTCAACTAAAAACCTGGATGTTCTGGTGTGCTTTTGATTGAGCAGCTCACCAGTAATTTTCCTGTCCCTATTGAGTTTCTGCACTTTATTTCAACCCTCAAACGGCCTATCTCAAGATGTTTATGACAGTACTTCCCGCCCAATCTACTAGTCTGTTGCACTTTTCTTGCACTCCTATAAAATGCATTGCATTCATTGAATTGTATCTCAGCTATGTTTTTTCTAAGCCATATTGTTCCTATGTTGTTTATAATTGTGTTGTATTGTTTTTATCTGATGTTTTAATTAGAATCATAGAATTGGAAGAGACCTCATGGGCCATCCAGTCCAACCCCCTACCAAGAAGCAGGAATATTGCATTCAAAGCATCCCTGACAGGTGGCCATCCAGCCTCTGTTTAAAAGCTTCCAAAGAAGGAGCCTCCACCACACTCTGGGGCAGAGAGTTCCACTGTTGAACAGCTCTCACAATCAGGAAGTCCTTCCTCATGTTCAAATGGAATCTCCTTTCTTGTAGTTTGAAGCCATTGTTCCATGTCCTGGTCTCCAGGGAAGCAGAAAACAAGCTTGCTCCCTCCTCACTGTGGCTTTCTCTCACATATTTATACATGGCTATAAATTGTTGTGTTTGATTGTTGTGTTTTAACTGTAAATTTTGGGCTTGTCCCTTGTAAGTCGCCCTGAGTCCCCTAGAGGAGATGGTTGGCGGGGTATAAAAATAAAGTAATATTATTATTATTGTTATTATTGTTATTATTATTGTGGATCTCAGTCCATCTGAACTTCTCATTTGTCAGACCAAAGTTTGGTGAACTCTGCTCCTGGAAGCCTCTAGGAATAGCAATTCACCTTTGAAAGAGTTGTTGGCTTTCTTTGTATTCTTTAACATCAAAAATACCCATTTTTTATGGATTTTAAAATGTTTTTTTGTGGGGACACGTCTGTGCAGCCCCCAGAGAATCCCAGGAGTGTAAAACTGGTTGTCAAATGCAACACAGTTGCCCACTCCTGTGTGAAACAGTGCATCAGAAAGCTATTCCCTTTGCACTGAAATTCTAAGGGACAAAGGAAGGATAAGGTACCTCTCTCTCCCAATCTCTCTCTGGGAAAGCTCTTTGTTTTCATCAAACGTATTCCTTTGTTTCTTGCAAGTTATCTGAATTGTAATTAAATTGCAGCAGCCAACAGGGAAGGGAGAGAAGCAAGAGACGGCATGCTGAGCAGAGGGCAAGAGAGTGGTAGGCATTTTTTTATGGCTCCAATGGTTTGTTCCTGTCTGTCTCCAGCATTAACTCCACTTAAAATTAAACTGTGTCAGTGCTCAACAAATGAATTTTGAATGGGAATGCCTGAGCTTTTCATAAGAGGAGGGGAAGATTGCATAATAATAATGATAATAATAATAATAATAATAATAATAATAATAATAATAATGGGTCAGGTGCATTTTAGCATTCATTATAGAAGCCCCCGGTGGTGCAATGGGTTAAAGCACTGAGCTGCTGAGCTTGTTGACCACAAGGTCGCAGGTTTGATTCCGGGGAGTGGCGTGAGCTTCCGCTGTCAGCCCTAGCTTCTGCTTATCTAGCAGTTCGAAAAACATGCAAATGTGAGTAGATCAATAGGTACCGCTCCGGCGGGAAGGTAGCTGCGCTCTATGCAGTCATGACGGCCACATGACCTTGGAGGTGTCTACGGACAACACCGGCTCTTCAGCTTAAAAATTGAGATGAGTACCACACCCCAGAGTCGGATATGACTAGACTGAATGTCAGGGGAAAACCTTTACCTTTACCTATAGAAGCCATAGCAGGCATTCTGTTCAGTAGTTGCGAGATCATTATATGACCAAATTTACCTTTATGGTTTGCCTTGGAAGGGATATCTGCAGCCCTCTTCCAGTTGCAGGTCATCTTCAACCAAGCCATTGCAGCAGAACCCCAAGGAGCCTTTTTCACTGTCTCTCAATGGCCATCTGTCGGGGGTGCTTTGAATGTGATTTTCCTGCTTCTTGGCAGGGGGTTGGACTGGATGGCCCATGTGGGCTCTTCCAATTCTATAATTCTTTTCAATGCATTTGCAACTCGGAGACTACTGCAAATATAATATTCCCATTGCCCTCGCTGGCAAAGTCATAGAAACCCATTGACTAGGGTGTGGCCAAACTGACAAAATAGGTATATTTGTTACACCTGACAAATAGGCATTGTCAGCTGTAACTATAATGGTAAAGCTCCACCATCTTACCTCCAATGATGCAAGATCTCAGCCTACACTTGATTCTGTTATACATGGTGAGGCAGCATAACTTCTTTTTGTCAAAACTTAATAAAACCCATTGTATGAATCAGAATTTTTTTTATAGTGTAGGTGTATACCTAAAGTTTTGTTTTATGTAGTTTTGAAGATCAAATTAGGTAGGTGATGTCCCCATTCTCTGTTCTCCATACACTGAGTAAACCGATTTCTGGCGTTTGTCATGACTCTTGCCAGCATAGCAGGCATTATGTTGGCAATTTCGTCCTGTATGTTGGTCTTCAAATCTTGTAGGTTCCTTGGACGGTTCACATAAACACGGGATTTCAAAAAAACCCATAGAAAAAAATTACAAGGGGCCAAATCTGGAGAGCGGGGCAGCAACTCCAAATGCGCTCGAAAAGTAGGCCTCAACGGCAAAAGCACGCTCCTCACTGTTCCAATGCATGATGGCGACGGAACTGTGTCAGGACAAAACTTTATAGTCCCGCCTCTCGAATGAGACCACTAGCGCTCCGCTATGACTTCAACCGACTGAATGGCGCGCATTTTTTTTAAAAAGGAAGTTATGCTGCCTCACCCTGTATTTTATGTTAATTTCTGTTCCATTTCTCTTCATGTAATATCTTAATCCCATTTGATCATGGAAACTAAGCAGGGGCAGCTCGGCTTAGTACTAGGATGAGGGACTACCAAGGAATACCAAGGAATACTAGGCGCTGTATTTCAGAAGTAGGAAGTAATAAATCCACCTTTGTGTACTCTTTGGCTAAGAAAACTCTAAGAGATTCATTAGGTCCTCATATGTTAACAAGAGGCATGAATGCAGATACATAGAAAAGCCTTTCAAAAATTCAACAGCAACTATTACTACTGCAATTATATTTTGTCCATATATTCTTGTATTGCTCCCATGTTAGTGCAAACCTATCACCTCTCTGAATCAGAATTGTGACGGCGCATCTGGCACCATTTGTATGTAAATATATAGTTGAATTGTTTGGTTATTTACAGCTGTCTATCAATGTTGTTTTACATCAATTGGCTTGCTCCCCCAGCTCAATTGTTTGACTCCACTCCTTCCTAGGGAGGAGGGCAGTGTTTTCCTTTTCATTCCATCACCAAAAAGCTCAACACATGGACGTGCGAAAGGCTTGGCTCAAACCCCTTGGTCAAGTCATTTCTTACTACCAATTCTTGGGTTTATACCCTTAAGATTCATACTTCATGCCCAGCTCATCTGGACGACGTTGAGGAATCTTAAGCGCTTTCAAACCAGTCCTTTGGCATCAAGAGGAAGACTTTGTGCCTTCAATATAGGCGATTGGACTGGGGCTGTGAGTGTTCTGACCTCATAGCCATTGAGAAAGAGGGAACTTGGAAGCTACTCAGCTGGAAAACTCCTTGGACCCAAGACAACCAGAGACTGTAATGTATATTTTCTTTACTTCCTTTTGGAACATCAAGTTTAATGCCTCAGAAAGATAACTCTTGTGAACAATAAAGCCTATTTCTATAGTGTCTTGATCCTTGAAAGTTCCAGTTGTGATGGAGGACATTTCCTCATCACTGATTTTGAAAAAATATATCAGTGACTAGCTCTGTTATCATTTTTATGTAGAATGGGAGTGGCACTGTGCTATTCTTTGCCTCAGGCAGCATAATTTAACTGCTGAAGGCAGACTGTCCTATTGTTGTTATTATTGGAACATGAACATGATGATGAAAGCAGAATGATGAGAGGAATGATGATATAGATAGTTAAAGGGAAGTACCATTGACAGTCAGCGACACCTCCCGTTCTCCCGCACCCACACGTGGAACCACGGCTCGGCAGACGTATTTTCCAGCATCTTCTTGGCGGACATTTCTTAGTGTTAACGTGTTCTCATTGCTCAGGACCTGAAAAAAAGAGGAAAGATACGTTTTGGCAGAGGCCTGATTGTTGCAGTCTTGCTCAATGGTAGAAGGGGGCTAACAACATCCTCCTTTACATGATTTTACAGTAAAATCACACAGTCTTGCTGAATATGGAGCAGTTACAGATCTGCAAATCTAGGTCGCAAATCTGTAACTGCAATCAGGGTGCGACCTAGTATCTTTACATGGGAAAAATCTCATTTAAAACTTCTTTTTTAGCTATAGAAATGAGGTGGATGGTTATTTGAAAAAATTAAACATTCAACAGTAAACTTGAGTGCAAGAACCTGGGAATGCCACACACATCCCCTCTATTTATGTGGCTGGATATTATTTGCATGGGAGTTACAGGGGTTGGAAGCATAGAATCATAGTGTTGGAAGAGACCTCATGGGCTATCCAGTCCAACCCCCTGCTTAGAAGCGGGAAAATCGCATTCAAAGCACCCCCAACGGGTGGCCATCCAGCCTCTGTTTAAAAGCCTCCAAAGAAGGAGCCTCCACCGCACTTAGGGGCAGAGAGTTACACTGCGGAACAGCTCTCACAGTTAGGAAGTTGTTCCTCCTGTTCAGGTGGAATCTCCTTTCCTGTAATTTGAAGCCATTGTTCTGCACCCTAGTTTCCAGGGCAGCAGAAGACAAGCCTCCTCCCTATGACTTCCCCGCACATATTTATACATGGCACTCATCATGTCTCCTCTCAGCCTTTTCTTCCGCAGGCTTAACATGGCCAATCTTGAGTCTCCCACAATTCTCCCACTAGATGTCTTCTCCTTGAAATGTTTGTTGTGGTGAAACAATTCTCCCACCCATCCCCTGCCATAATTATAAATAAATTCGAAAAGACTCCCCATTATTCTTCTTTTCATACATCTTCTAACATAAATGCTATACTTGAAAACACTATACAGGCAGTCCCCAAGTTATGAACAAGATGGGCCCTATGGGTTTGTACTTAACGTTGAATTTGTATGTAAGTTGGAATAGGTCCATTTTTTAAGCGTAATTCCAGCTAAAATATATATTTTACAGCTTTGGATTGCATGGGGAATGGTTACACCCCTGTGGTGTTTGCTTTGCTGTCTATGTCACTGGTCAGAAGATCTCACCTCACTTTCTATCCCTGTGATTTTGAAAAAATTGGCTCATTGTGGAAACAAGGATTGGAGATAGAGCTTCAGTGGAGACACCTTTTCTGCATGATAACAATTCTTCTAGTAGTGGATTTCCCTTCCAAGGAGAAGATTTCCTTCACTTTCTGTTGTCTCACCCTTGTTCTTAACTAGGAGTTTTTTGTAAGTCAGATGTTTTGTGGCATAATGTAAAATAAATCACTTGTAGTTCACATTGGATCAGCCCACACACTTGTTGGCAGATGAAGAAAATATGCCATGCAGGTGAACGGTAAAAAACAAACAGTTTACCCTTCTTAATTCAGAACAACATATGTACAATATGATCAGTTGTATCAACTCACTAAATGTCCTTTCAGAGAGAATTAAAATGGTATTTTTTGTCCAAATGAGACAAAAAATACCTTTCAGCAGCCAAGAAGCAAATCAGTCTTGTCTCTCACTGTCTGCTTCTCTACTCACTCTCTCTGCACCCGCGTAGCTTGAGCCTGAACAAAAATGTAACAGTATCCAAAAGTTCCACGCTCAGCCATCACCCCAGTCCATTGCCTGACCAATCAGCTTCATGCATCTTATTTTACAGTTGACACACACACACACACTCACTGATTGCTTGTATACTCCAACAGTTTGTAACTCAGGGAATGCCTGTATAGCCATATTATTCAAAGGTTGGTGTAAAGAGGGACTGTGGTGCAGCTGGCTGGGAGTCAGCTGCATTAACATCACTACTGACCGGAAGGTCATGAGTTCAAAGCCAGCCCAGGTCGGAGTGAGCTCCCAACCAAAATTGTGTAGCTTTTTGTCAACCTTTGCAACTCGAAAGGCAGTTGCATCTGTCAAGTAGGAAATTTAGGTACCACTTACATGGGGAGGCTAATTTAACTAATTTACGAGGCCATAAAAATATCCAGGAAGTATGCAAAGAATGAGGAAAGTATTTCATCAGCATCACAAACGGACGGTGAAGCGACAGCTCCCCTGGTGGCCAGAAGCTGGAATGTTAAATAGCCTCTGAGTGTCTGTCTATATAGGTTGTGTGTCTATGGCATTGAATTTTTGCCATGTATAAGTACATTGTAATCCACCCTGAGTCCCCTGTGGGGTGAGAAGGGCAGAATATAAATACTGTAAAATAAAATAAATAAAAATAAAGAGCAGCTCTGAGTCACATAGTGAGAGCCGATCACTCTGAAATTTGCTTATAGCCAGTGCTACCAAGACAGAGTTTGCTCTGGCTCCCTGCCTTTTGATCCTCACTGCAATCCATGCTGCCAGATCGGCTGCCCTGTGGTCCACACTGGCACAATCAACAGCTTTATTAAAACTTCTTAAATGCTGAAGCAGGGAATTTTGATGCAGGCCAGTCAGCAGAATCCAAGCTCCTGTGGTATTTAGAAATACGATGAGTCTAAAACAAACATGGCCTTTAAGAGTCAACTCTTTCTAATTGCCTGAGGAAGCAGTTGAAACTGGATGGTTAATTTTCCACCTGCGCAAGTAAAGCGATCGGGATTTGTCTGCAGCTAATGTGGAGTGGCATTATCTTCCGGTGATGGAATCCACATATTAGGTGTGGTTGTCCCTTAACCTTTCTGCACAGGGCAGAATGGAGACATCTGCCATCTTTCTCCTGCAGAAATTTGGATGATATCCCTATGGTCCTGCTCCTTTTTTCCTTTCCAGCATGTGTTTGCTATGTAAACACAATCCAGCATGTTAGTTATTGGCACTGCTGAGTGTCTGATCTTGCAGCCAATTCCTTTGCTCAGTCTGGGAATTTACACTCATGCTGAGCAAAATGCTTAAATGCCCTAGCAGTAGTTAGAGATGGAAGCAGCTCATATTGAAACTACCATGTGTTGGGAAAAGTTGGAAACTTTTTTTTAAAAAAAAATCCCACTCATTAAAATGTCAGTCGTAAGGCCGAACAGGGTATAGGGTTACAGCCTGTGTTGGACGGGGTCGCACTCCCCCTGAAGACGCAGGTTCGCAGCTTGGGTGTGATCCTGGACTCATCGCTGAGCCTGGAACCCCAGGTTTCGGCGGTGACCAGGGGAGCATTTGCACAGTTAAAGCTTGTGCGCCAGCTGCGCCCGTACCTTGGGAAGTCTGACTTGGCCACGGTAGTCCACGCTCTGGTTACATCCCATTTAGACTACTGCAACGCTCTCTACGTGGGGTTGCCTTTGAAGACTGCTCGGAAGCTTCAATTGGTTCAATCTTCGGCAGCCATGATACTAACAGGAGCGGAGTACAGGGAGCATACAACTCCTCTGCTGCGCCAGCTCCACTGGCTACCAATTTGCTACCGGGCTCAATTCAAAGTGCTGGCGTTGGCCTATAAAGCCCTAAACGGTTCTGGCCCAAGCTACCTATCCGAACGTATCTCTGCCTATGAACCCACCAGGACCCTAAGATCTTCTGGGGAGGCCCTGCTCTCGATCCTGCCTGCAACACAGGCACGGTTGGCGGGGACGAGAGACAGGGCCTTCTCTGTGGTGGCCCCTCGGCTGTGGAACGCCCTTCCCATGGACATTAGATCAGCCCCCTCGTTAATGGTGTTTCGAAGAAGACTGAAGACCTGGCTGTTTGAACAGGCGTTTGGATAAACAGTGCAATGAATATAATGAATATAGGAAAACGGAATTACGGATGACGAGTTTGGATCACGATTCTAGTTACGAGATGTTAATGTGTTGTCTATTGATGTGTAATTACTCAGTATATTACGGTGTTAATTGTTTTTAAATAGTGTATGTTGTATTGAATTCTTGCTCTTGTTGTTAACTGCGTTGAGTCGCCTACGGGCTGAGAAACTGCGGTATACAAATAAAGTAAATAAAAAAATAAAAAAATAAAAATGTGGTTATGGTTCATACAGCCATCTTCCTCACGTAGTATTTTGTCCAATCATGAAGAAAATGCAACAATTCTAGATTGTGCTGGAACCCAAGATTGTGCTGCCTGAGTCATAGATAAGATGACACACACATTTCCAGTTCCACTGATGCAAGTGGTTGGGAATGGATGGACGTCTGGGAAGATACAGAGAGCTTCCACAATTACCTCCCAGCAACTGCAGTTTGAGGAAATTTGCCCAATTTGGCCTACAGTGGTCCACACTCTTGTTACATCCTAAATAGATTACTGCAATGCACTCTACGTGGGGTTGCCTTTGAAGACTGTTCAGAACCTTCAATTAGTCTAACGGGTGGCGGCCAGATTACTCACCAGAGCGTCATACAGGGAACATACCACCCCTCTGTTATGTCAGCTCCATTGGCTGCTGATCCAGTTCTGAGCACAATTCAAAGTGCTGGTTTTGACCTACAAAACCCTATACGGCTCCGGCACAGCGTACCTGTCCAAACGTATCTCCTTCTACGTCCCGTCTCGGAGTTTAAGATCTTCTGGGGAGGCCCTACTCTTGGCCCACCTCTATCACAAGTGAGATTGTTGGGGACGAGGAGCAGGGCCTTCTCAGTGGTGGCCCCTCGCCTGTGGAATTCGCTTCCCGGGGAAATTAGGTCATCGACATCCCTCCTCTCTTTTAGAAGGAAACTAAAAACATGGATATGGGACCAGGCCTTTGGGTAATTTGGCAGATAGACAAAGGACAATGACGACTAGAATTGGATAGGATTTGACGATGCGGAATGAACTTACGGATTCTGAGCTTGGCAAACGTTGATCATTAGATGGGTTTTTATTAATTGTGATGTATAACTGGATTGTTTTAATTGTTTTATAACTGTTGTTTATATTTTTTATCTTATTATCTGTTTTGCTGGCATCAAATTGTGCCTTTTGTAAGCCGCCCTGAGTCCCCCCTCGGGGGTTGAGAAGG